TAGAGAGCTTGTTTACATCATATTTCTCGTGCGTGCCCTCTGATTGACCCCGCATGAGACGCTGTGTTCACAAAGGGGTGTGGCTTAGGCCTTTGAAGTATCTTGTTTACAATCGGCTTCCAATTACGCATTGGGTATAATGACTCGGGGTACTTTCTGGAATGTACTCCTTAACCCGAGATATGTAAACAACACGTCATAAGCCCTTCTGGAAGCGCCTTACTCTACACCTATATAAGGGATTGACAGGCACGGACGAGGGGAGATTTTCATATAGATTCTCTTAACATTACGAGGCGTGTTTTATTCTTTGTGTACTTGTGTGCTCCTACTTATATGTGTTTATTTCGCATTATTTATTGGCATCATTATTTCTAATTGTATTAACTGTGTATCGGTACGAGATCTACCATACTGTAAGTTGAAGATTGTAATTTTATTTTATTTTGTAATTATCTTTAGACATAATAAATCTTAATTAATTGTAACTAGTAACTGTTTTGGGTCGTATCTTTAATATTGTTGATTCTGTGGTATCGTCCTTTGTTAGGCACTGATTACAACGAGCCAATTAAAATTAAAATAGGAGATTAATTTCTCCCAATACAAGTCAGTGCGTAACACCGTACATTGTGAAAAGCACCGGACCTAGGACCAAGCTCTGACGCCGATCAAGCGTGTACATTATGGGGTTAATTATAAGCGTGTGACAAATGCTTATCCTGGGGCACGACGCAAACGGAGTGAATTCAGTTTATGCATGGCACTGGGCGCCATAATGCCTCACACAAAACCTTAAAAATGTCTTCCCCCGTTCAAAAAGTGAAATAGAGACATTGAATTCAAGTATACTCAAAAATACACCTCTTGATTCATCGGCGCCCTCAATGTCCGCCCCACTTCCCGGTGAAAATGAACGCCAATGTTGGTATCGATTGTTACATGGCCTAGCGGCGCAGCTACTATTAGTGCCACCATGGGAGGGAAACTAGTTTTGCCGTCCTCCCTTTCATGACACAAACTCTGCAGTTTTCCGATAATTCCACACCTGCTGCACACAGAGCCGTTCTTAGGCATAGGTAAAGTAGGCGACCTCCTAGCCCCCCCCCCCCCCCCCCCCCCCCCCCCC